TGTATTGGACAAAGGACCTCCAGGCCCAAACTTGGATTGGATGCGGTTTGGCTCGATTGGATCAGCTTCGCCGTAGAACTCATCCGGGCAACAAGATCTCTTTCTCATAGCAAGCTATGTGGTTTTTTTTCCAGCTGCTCACAGCAACTTAGGAAGTCAGTGACAGGTGAACTGAGGTGGACCGAGGAGAACCCTCGGAAATAAAGCATTGACTTTTAGCCTTGCCAGCAGCAGCGTGCTGCGAGTTGCAGGCCTGGTGGGCAGCCAATGGGCACTGGTGGCAAGGGAACGGTCAGACAAAGCAAACGCCGTAGTTGTGTGACACAGAACGAGAAACTTCAAGTAGTAACAACAAGCTACTAGGGGCTCCTGGCCTTACTACTAGGAGCAAGGACGCTACTAGGGGCTCCTGGCATCGCTACTAGGAGCAAGGACGCTACTACTAGTAACAAGAAGCTACAAATAACATTGGACATATTTGTTTCTTGTTCATGCCATGGAGTTGAACCGTTTTGGAGTAGCAAGGGATACCAATTGAAGAACGCGTTCTTGTAGTAGCAAGGGGCAACATATTGCAGACCACTACTGCACGGACCTGTGCCTACCTTTATAGATGTGTTCACCCAGAGATCCCAGAGTGCTGTAGCCTCAGTTTGTTTATTCAAATCCAACGGATGACTCAGTAGACTTTTTCTAAGAGCTCTGATACCGCTCAGTGTTGGGTCGAGAATCCCCACAGCTCTGAGTCTCCTCCCCCCCAGGAATGATTGAAGAGGAAAACCTGATCGATGAAATCGACCGAAATTCAGGCAGGACAGTTTCGGTTGACTGCGTGCAAGACTACTTTTGAAGAGATTTGTCCAAGTAAAAATTTGAAAATTAGATGCATACATATGAAGGAAAAACAGGTCTAACAAGTGACTAGAGGAAATCTGATTGAGCTTATTCATCAACATAGTGCAAGACACAATGTGTCGCAAAATTATCCTGCCTTGTTCACCAATGCCCAAAATGCACCACCTCGCCAGCGACGCGGGAAAAGTCTGCAAGAGGAGCATGTCGTGCGAGATGAATCTCGCCACATACCATCCAAGGTCACACGACTTGTAGGTCACGTGTCGAGGGGAGGACACTACACTGACCAAACACAAACCGCCTCGGTGGCCGTTGCATATTTACATACAGTCAATAATAGGACCCGTACGATTCAAGGATTCCAAGGCTTTCTTTCTGCAAGCCTTCAATTAACGATCTTTAATCTTTAACGTACAAACGTGTATCAAGTGCGTCACACCTAATGCCTCATGAGCATGGGTTTGGGGCTTGTGAAGTCCAAGGCGCTCTGAACACGCACCGAGTCGAGCCCAACTTGAAAACTACTTCGTCAGTTGCCGTCGTGATGTTCTTTGTCGTTTTCATTCGTTTTCTATCGTTTTCTTGCTGCAGAATCGGTCCAAAGTTCTCGTTGATAGCTTGGAGTTAGGAGCTGAGTGGTGTTCGGTTCAACTGTGCACCCTGTTTCGCGCTTCGTGTCGTGTTGCAAGAAACCCGGGAGGAGGTTTTGCTATGGACGAGGTCTTTGATTCGTGTGAAATAAATATTGTGTGAGCATGTTTTGTTGGCTGGCCCGGGCTCCCCCTACTCCCCCTATCTTTCGTGGCTTGGAGATTGCCATTTTATTGAGTTGTACGAGTTGCATGTCGCATGCAAGTAGCGGCCTCCGTTCTGCACTTGCTGGCAGCCTGGTTGTCCTTCACCAGTGCTGGCCTTTGCACAGAACTGGCTCTCCAAATAGCCTTTGGCTTTGTGACCGTCCCTCCGCCAGACTTCCGAGCACATCATTTCATCGTGCGCTGCCTTCAGGAGGGCGGCCGAGCGGTCGGGCAACATTCTTCGGAGTTGTTGCAATTTCTTGGCAAAATGGTCCTATCATAGTGGCTCTTTTGAAGGGATTATGATTGAGGCCCAAGGAGGCCGGTGTATTTGCTCAGCAGCCTTTGGGCTCGGAAGACTCATATTTATTATTCTGCCATTTGCAGGCCACATTTCGGGCAAATGACTGGGACCCAAGCGTCCCTCAGACAATCTTTGTGATGGCATTTCTCAGATCAGAATCAGTTCAAAGTAGATGATGGACACCCTCAATCTAAGTTGTCCGTTGCTACAAAAGGTGCTTCCCTTGGTGTTCCGGCTAGGACAACCGAGTGCCTTTTCTGTGTGGAACCATCATCGGCACCATCTCCTTGATCATCACCATGACGATGTGCATCCGGCACTCCATGGCGTCCCTTGGCGTGGTGCGTTTTGGACTTCGGTGTGGAGTTCAACATCGAAAACGACATCCGTTCTTTTGATTTTAAAAGAATGAACACATGTGGTTGAACCAATGCCACAGATATCTCACGGTTTTGTATTCAATACAAAAATCATACAAAACTGTTGCTAACACCGAGTCACTTTAGACTTCCGTTTCTTTGCAGAGTAAGCTGCCTTGATGCCAATTGCGAGGCTGGACAGAAGACCGATTTGTATGCTGCGGACCTATTACCATGGTTTCTTGGCAGAGTGTCGAGGACTTTTGAATGCACCCTTGATTAAAGAAAGCACTTTTCTCAAAGGAAGCAACGAAAGAAAAGAAGCAAAGACAAATTCAACCTGAAAAGGTCCAACAAAATACAGTCAAAAGGTCCAACAAAAACGACAACAACAAACCGGCAAGAACATCCACAGCATCCTTCCAACTTACTCATTTTGCTTTGCAGTTGCTACGCGGTTTGCTCGGAATTTGCAAGAGAAGCATGCTGAAACCGGATGATGTGACTCTGCTCCACCTGAGGTATGTTGATCTATCCTATGGTGCATGCCTTAGGGCTAGCACTTGATGACCTGATCAGTTCACATGCAGAAACCGGGAAGGTCCCGATCAGGTCAGTTCATTTTTCCCAGTCCTTGTTGGCAAAAGATGTATGGCAAGAGTATCATTAATGGAATCAGCCCAAAAACAAGAAATTGAAAGATGAAGAGGCCGTTGAGCATACAGGGCTGAGTTCAACAAAGTCTCACACCATCTCTCATCACTGTTCCTGGTTAACGATCTGTTTACATAAATGCTTATTGCGAATAGGTCTGGGCTGTTTGCTGCTGGGTGTCACTTTTCTGCCCCTTGGCATAATTCGGAGACGCTGAACCACGATCAACAGAACTGGAAGAAGAGAAGGAGAAATCAAGCACAAACCAAGAAAACGTACTGAACACATAAATTTACTTCATACCTTGTATATAAATGTTGTTTCCAGTTTTCGTGTTACTTTGTGTTGCTTTAGTGCGGTAGGAAGGAGCAGTGACGACGTTCAAGACCTCGAGGTCTACTAGTAGCATGCCGTGCTACCAGTAGCAGCTAGCTGGATTTTGCGAGATTTTGCAAGTGACGTGTCCCAAAAATCTAGAAATCAAATGATATCAAATGAATAGTGCCAGGGCTTCCTTGAAGAAGCCTGAGCTTTCCTGCGTCCAGATAGTTAGGAGCTACTTAAGCTTACTAGCTACTGTTTACTTCCTTAGCTAGTACTCATAAGCTTACTTACCTCTTAGCTGCCTGCCCCCTAAAGAAATAGAAAGGGTGGATGCCATTGCTATTAGGTTGGAGGCCATCGCTCGTATGTTCTTCTTTTTTTCTTTTTAAATGGCAATCTAATTCGTTCAAGATCTTTCGGGGTGACGTCCAAGACTTTGAAGCGGTGACGTACTTGGACGACCGCTGTCTCGGAGGTTGGAGAAGGATTGTTTCTGTGGCGTTGTTTGATGTTGCCAGGGACCGAGTAGGAGGATTAGGAGGGATGTTTTTAGCTATGACCAAATAAGTAGGTTTTAAGATGTCTTGACAGGGAAGAGGTAGGTGCGGGGACGCAGAAAAGCTCAGGGTTCTTCAAGAAAGCTTCCTCCGCTTGACTAGAGTAGCCACGGCTAAGGTCCCTTGACCACCAACTTGTCGGAGCTCTTTATGGGTCAGAGCGAGGCAGTTTGTTTTTTGTTCTTTTTACACAGGTCATCACTATGAAGATCTATGAGGAATCGGAAGACTTTGCATCTTGTGCCTGGACACCACTCTTTTCAGACAAAGCTGAACTTCGGCAGATCCTCCTATGAACGGCCAACAAGGACATGAACCTTGCTCGATGTCAAAACCGTCATATTCCGTTCATAGTTTTGAATTTGGATTGCTGGCGCTGCTGTTGCATTGCTTTGTATAAAGCCACGTTTTATTGGGAGGCATATGCCATCTACATTTTCCTAGTCATCCTGTACATGCACCTGGGCTTATATAGTCGAACAAAGGAGATTTGGTCCAGTGAGGTGTGAGGTCTATCACCGGTAGAGTCAGAGTTCAGAATTGATTCAGTTGAAAACCGCGCACTCAGGTTAGTCTCCATCGAAGCGTGCAAAAAGCGGATGGAAACTGGCGGGGCAGGTGTGGTGGTTTGTGGACCTGCAACTCAGAGTGCTCGAAGTGTGCAAAGACCAGGAAAATTATTATATAGAAGTGTGCTCGAAGTGTCCAAGTACTATAGAAGCAAAATTTTTATATATCTCAAAGTGAAAAGTCCAGGATGCAGAAGACCTCCATGCATGCAAACCACATACTTGGGGTATAATTAATCTAAAGCCTAAAGCAGTCAAGCAGTCATTTGTGTGTCCTTTCATTCCTGGTGCAGTCCTCGCAAGAAATCGGCAGAAAAAGTCTGATTGAAGTCACTACTGAATACACCTTTGTGATGTCGTCACATCCCAGCACCTTTGCCACGCCGACAAAAGGTGAGTCCTTGCGGACGGAGATGATGAACATGGGGCAGACTGTGATGGAGGCTCGTAAGATGTTTGTAGATTTGGAAGTCTCGGTGTCCACTATCCAAAGTTGTATGATTCACATATCATATAATGTATAGAGATACAGTCAAGGAGGTGCAGTCAGTAGCTTTAAATTAGCACCAAGCATCAGAGTCATGCTAGTCCTCGACCACAGAAATTACTTGTAGCAACGCTGACTGAGTGACAGAGTGGAACAAAGACTTGTCGTCACTTGCAGTTTGTTGTATTCTGGTATGGATTCAGGATCAGGCATGGGCAGCTGTCAGGATTAAGGGTTGTTTGTTCAACTTGGCTTGCATGGCCTTTGGATGTACGTCCAAAGAAACGTTGGTTGACCTCCTTTTTGGGCACATACAAACCTGAATCGTTGCTGTTGAATCCCTCATCACCTCGTGATTCCGTGCATACTTCGGCCGTTGAAGCATCAGGCCATACATGAGTATGGACCACAGAAGTATTTTGCAGTGGCCGCCTCAGATTGGACACGCTCATCCGTTCGGACGGAGAACCGCTGCTGCGAGGTGCCTCCATTTGGATGTTGCTTTTGGCGTTGCTGTACACCTCATCATATCACTGCGAAGCAGCTCCTTTGGGTTTCCAGACTCCAGGCTTAAGGGAGATTTCTGGAGAGGACGCTTCTAGATTCTAGTAGCAGAGGGCATCGAAACTAGGAGCAAGGACGCTACTAGGGGCGCTCAAGGCCTTACTACTAGTAACAAGATCGCTACTAGGAACAAAGGGCATTGCTTTCTGATTCACAAGAGTACACATATGCTGTGTCACACACGGAGATATTTGTGACATGAAGCGTCAGGGTCAACTGTTCAAGTCTACAATCTATCCCGCCAAGCAAGGACTTGTAAAGCAGTGGCTCGGCCTGAAGTAGATCCTGTGAAGGCTTCCAAAGAGCTTCCAGAAGCCTTGCCAGACCATGTGTTCGGGAGATTCATGGAATAGAATCAAGCGGGTGAGAGAGACTGAGACTGTGAGCAGTACAGGGTGTTGCAAAGCCAAGGAGCCGTCGTTCCTGGTCACGTTGAGAGGTTTTAGGAATTTTATGGAATTTTTAGGATCTACATCTAAAGACCACCTTTGCTGTACCGGAGCCCTTTGAGGTATGTGCTCTTGGAGCTGTTTCTGAACACATTCTTTATGTGGTGCGGGCTTCTTGGCATCTTCATTGATTTGCCCTGGATTCAGCTCTCCTACCACCAACATTGATTGGGTCGAATTTGCACATATTCATTGAGGGGTCCAGGTTCATACTGCTCCTCAAACAACGAAACGATATGAAACACTTGAGGGGAGTTTTGTCCAGGATTTGCTGGCAAAACAAACCAGGCCTCAAAAGGAACTCCAATTTGTTCAACAACAAGACTTGGGAGAGAAACAGTTTGAGAAGGAAAGCGACAACTTATAGGTCCAAATCCTTTTTAGTTAGGGTTTTAGGTCATGCAGCAGAGACTGCATGAATTTAGGTTGTCCATGGTTTTCCACCGATGGATCGAGGCTGACATTCCTGCCCGTGCGGGCCAAAAAGATGCAATCCGTTGCTGGGCAACGTGGCGAAGGTTAGTCTTTGCCTTTCAGCCTTTGAACGATTCTTGATTCCGAGGTCAGTCCCAAGGACATGTGACAGCACTCGACTTCGTATGTTCGACTTCGTACTAGGTACATCTTGAAGGCCTCTGGCATGCTGGCCATCTACGGACTCTTCGTGATGTACAAGGCATTTTTCAAAATCTGCATTTGTTCTTGCATGTTCTTGCCAATCAAAGTGCCAAACAGACATGTCGGAAAAAGAACACATTATATATATATACAACATAATATGTTTGCTGCACTTTGTGCTTATTCAGGTTTCTCTGAATGAAGCATGCATCGCTCTTGGCTTTGCCAGGCGACGCATGACCTGCTTCACGATTGGAACACCACCAGGCACAGAGTGACTTTTCTGGCTAAGGAGGATGAGTTGGATGTGACTCGATGGTTCTGAATAGGTCAAAGGAATCTTCACCGCCACACACTTGCAAGTTTGCCTTGCAAGTGAGACGACGCTGTAGCATGCTTTAGCCAGCTCTAGTTCATTAAGTGCGTCAGGTTCTGCATTCTTCTCGGGGTTCCTGTCGGGGGATGAAGGGTTTCCTAGCAATGCTTGAGATGCCTAATTCCAATGCCCGAGAGGGTTGATTTGGAAGAGACAAACCCTTTGCCAACATGTTGCGAAGCTTCAAATCGCCAGTTTTGACCTTTGACTCAAGTTCGACAGGAAGTTCGTGGCCATCAAGCACCTTGGCGAGATGATCGCACATTTCACCACTCTTCAACCTCGTCAGCAAATCTGATTCAATCCTGACTTTGAATAGACATGATCTGAACAGTGAAACTTGAGGCTTATTTCCAAACTTTTCCAAAGAATGGTCGAAGTTGGAAAATCGAAAACTGTCAGTTTAATCAAGTCAACTTGTCAAGACTAGTTGGCTGAACATGCTGAGATTCTGTGTTGTTCATCGTATTCAAAGTTTGTCATTTGTTGCTAGAGGTTGGTGATTCTGTTGTCCGTGATCCAGAACAAGCTATTCGGATTGTTCATCCGCAAGTGACATGGCTGTCAAATGCTGCAAACGCTTCACAAGTTGAGCAATCTTGACAGTTCCATCTTGATTGGCTTGGGTTGTGGCGCGTTGCGGTGTACTTGGCCAACGAATGTGCATCGACTCATCGCTTGGTAGGTTCAGACCTCCAGACGAGAGCTGTTTGTTGGAACCCAACAACCCCAAGGACTGGAAGAAAGATTGAACACTTAGACCTATATACCATGGTCTAGCATAACCTATTCATATACAAGATGAGATGCCTCAGTAGAACATAGATCAGCTCTTGCAGGATTTGGAACACGTGATTGCCTGGTGGACTACGCAACTTGTCAGCACTTGGCAGTACATGGGACAGATTCAGAGAGATTTGTCTTCGAGACTTTAGCCTTAGAAAGTCGGCAGCGAACTTGGGCCCTTTTGTACCAAAGGTCCATTGGTCACATTGCGAACTGTTTCTGCGCATTTCCTTTAGAACCTTCTAATTCTGGGATCTAAAGAATCTCTGAGTTGATGGTGCTTTGCCAAACCTGCCAAGCGACAGATGTTGGTCCTCCCTCTGTGTGTTTTCGATCCCTTCAGAATCGCAGAAACCGTTTGTGCGCACCGCTGGTGCGAACTATGTGTGTGAAACAGCATGAGATCCTTTTCCTCGAAAAAGCAATCGATGAAATGTGTGAAGTTCAGTTTCGACCTCTTGCGGCATTGTCAACCTACAAACTGAGACCTCGTTGCAGCGGACAAAGGTTTGCCACTCTGGTGGAGACAGTTCTTTTGTCACATCTCATCATCAAAGCATTCCCTGCCCACGAGGCAGGCAGTTTGCATCAGATCCAGTGTTAAATTGAGAGATGCAAGTTAAACTTGATTTTAGACAGAATAATCTGCCTTCTATGCATTCGTTTAGATATGTCTCTTTACTGCCTCTTGGCTTCAGATTGAGCAAAGGGAGTTGGTTTCTTACCACACGTCAGGCTTCATGAGTGAACCTGTCTGGGGTTGTACCGGGCACTGTGGTACATAGGCCTAGGTAGAAATCCCTTGGTGAAAAGAAACGCATATTGGCATCGCTTCTAGTAGCTACTAGTAGCTTCTTGTTACTAGTAGTAATGCCAGGAGCTACTTACTAGTAGCGATGCACCTTGCTACTAGTAGCCTAGTAGCCTCTTGTTACTAGTAGTAATGCCCTTGTTACTAGTAGCGAGAAACGCATTTCTGCATGCATCGGAGCATCGGAAAGACTCAATGAACTTGGATCAAAGAGGATTCCACAAGACCAGCTTAGGTTTGAATAGGATTGAATAAGTATTTAAGTGTTCCCGTTTTGTAGTCAAAGTGGCTGCGTCATGTTGTTTGAAGATGTTGTTTGCTCTTCGTTTAGAGGCAGCAAGCAAGCAACAACATCATTCCCTCCGCACAGCGCTAGGAAAGCCACTGGGTGAGCCAGCACTCATAGACTTGGTGATTACATTCAATCTATCTTTCTCAGCGCAACAAAAACCAGCACTCCGATGTGCTGCCCTCACAAAATTTGCTACTAGGAACACGTGCATCACTTCTAGTAACAAGTGCCTTACTAGTAGTAACAAAAAAGCTATTACAATTAAACTAATTTTAAATAGCAAACATTGTTACTACTAGTAAGGCACTTGTTACTACTAGCGAGGCACTTGTAATTACTAGCAACAAAATTTGCGCACGCGGGGAAGTTGCGACAAACTTCGGTCACATCTTGATGGCGTTCCTCCACCGAAGGTGTCGTGGCGTCACATTCGACGAAATGGACAAATCATGCAAGCGAACCAACTACCGACATCAAAGCATGTGTGATCAGCAAGCTTCATGCCAACAAATGGATTCGCCAGTGAACGTTCGCAAATTTTATCAAATTCCTTAGCTGCAGCATCACCCCGTCGGTTGTGGACTATGTGCTGTACCATGCTGTAGCGTAGTGCCCCAAATGCAATGCTCCGGCAAATGTTAAAGGAGTCATCTGAAAAGGCACAGAATGACCGACCACGTTTGCGCAGCAAGTCACAGAAAAAAAAAACAGCTCTGTCCGTCATGGTCCCGATTCAGATCGTTTGCGGTCAGGTCCATCTCCCAGTTTACCACCGACAAGAGGATCGAAAAGTCATTGATTACATTTGTACTTTTGAGAGAAAACATATTGATATTTGATGATCTTTGTGCTGAAACTGAAATTCCTACAATTTTGAGGGTTCATCATTCCGAGTAGGGTTGAGAAAGAAGGTTGCGGTGTTGTTTGAATGCTTCAACAAGAGTGCTTTCTTCCTGAAGTCGCTTCTCAAAGCATTCTTGGCTTTGGAGGTCTCTGACTATCCACTGAAGAATTTGGACTTGGTGGAAATGGAGCTCAGACAGATCCACGAGAGCGAAAGCACAAAAGGCCTTGCGATTGTATGTATCTATGTTGTTGTATGACAGGGTTTGAGAGAGGTCCGTAGTATGCTTTCAGAGGGCAGACACACAATATATCTAGATTAAGATAATATACTATAGATGACCTGATGATTGCAGAATTCCAATGCAGCAGCTGGTTGATTCTATTTTGCAAAACTTTCTTTGGTTACAAACACTACTGCAAGTAATTGTTGATATCGGAATAAGATTGAGAGATGTTCCGAGCTCCATAGGCGGTAGCCTGAGCATGGAGACATCGAGCAGTGATGGGGACTACGACTCCGAGAAAGATGGCTAATTAGTGCCTTTGTCTTCGGAAAAAGCAGCCCTTAAATCCCGTTGTCAATTGAATACCTCACTGTCGCTCACTGTTTTGAGATGTTGGAATGATGATGAAGTCTTGCCTCGTTTCCGCAAAGCATGTGTAATGCCAGTTTAATATGATTTAGAGACTCACATTCGAATGGTCTTGCCCTTACACTAAGGAGACACGACGCAAGGAATTGGTTCACAGAGACCAATGACGTCCATAAGTGACAAGTGTGTCAGCAGAACAAAACAACAGAGGTGCACACCTGCCGGACGCTCTAAATCTGGGGCTTGGGAATCGCTTTTGGACAGTCAATGATGGCTGTTTTGGAGCGCTTGTTTGCTCCCGGCTTGTCCTGTTGCTGGAAGCTCAAGCGAGCTGCTTTCTGCCCTGACCATGTAGTGTTTTGGCTCTATGAACGGCGGCATGGTTTGGTCATGAAGAAGCCAGAGGGCAGCCCCCACAGCAATAGACTCATAGGCTTGAATAGACCTTTCCGCAACATACTACAAAAGACTTTGTACTTAAAGAAGTCGATACTTGCTTTGATTGCTCTCCATCATAATCAAACAGATCATGGAGGTTAGCTCCACCACAACATGTAGCAACCCGAACTTCTACATGAGCAAGTCACAAACAATAGTCTTTTCTTTGCAGATGTCATGAGAGGGAGAGGACGGGCCGGCTTGAGAGAGTTCTCGCCTTCCAAAGCCTCCCCTTCAGGGTTGATGAAGGTTTGGAACTCTTTCAAGAAGCCCTCTACCCTTGCAACGTCCAATTGGTTTTCCCAGGGTCCTGCCTATTCAAACATGCCGTTTCTGACTACCTGGCTGCCTGCAGTCAATGGTCATTGAAACATCGAGCAAACTTTCCAACCCGCCCTTTTGTCACAGTGGACCACGTAGCAGTTCTTTTATGATGCTTGTGCGTAGAGCCTTAATATGTTTAACAGGGTGCGAGCAAGGAATCCAGTGTAGCAGCTCACGGATAGCGGGTCCAGTTTGTGTGGACCAAGCTGAAAGTGTTGAGCGTTTGGATGGTGACTCAAAGACACCACACAAATGATACAATAATAGAATTGGTTCAAGTTTGCAACACGATTTGACACAACGATTGTTGGCAAAGGACTTGTTTTCTTTCCTTTGGGCGTTGTACTTTGTACCCAGGCGTATGGCCGAGCAGATTGCAGGCCAATCCCCACCAGGAGGGGATGCTGAGATAATGATAAACAAACAGTGCTAACATTGCAACATGTGTTCGTTCTGACTTGCAGTCTTTTGTTTTTGGTCGATCATTTGCAGCCCACAATAACATATCAGCATTCTTACACTTGATCGACCAATGAACTCTTTGTTCTGTATGGATGATGCAACACTTTGCATTTCCATGCTAAGCCGATCCGTGCACATGCTGTACAGCACGTGAATGTCATTCGATTTAGTGCCCGGGGATGCCCGTTGAGGCCCGGCTTTGCCCACGCCTGACCAAGTGCTGCTGCGCCTTGTCAAGGCCTTTGGAGCGGAGAAGGCTGGGAGTTCTTCAATGATTACTACTAGCGTCCTTGTTGCTAGTAGTAATGCCACTTGTTACTAGTAGCGATGCACTTGTTCCTAGTATGTCTGAGAAAATGGCCTTTAAAGGTACTCTAATATCATCCAATATCCATGTATCCATATGCAGTAGCAACTGTTTTTTACAGCTTTCACACGCAGTTGGCAGTAATATGGATCTTTTGTCTTGGGGGCTTCTTTGACAGGTTCATTCCAGCTTTCCCTATGCTTCCCTTGTTTTGCTGCTTTGATTTGTATTGTTTCTTTTTTTAGCCCACTCCACCCCCTGCCTACATAATTACAGTAAGTAGGCGCCTTCTCAATTAAGTAAGGGAGGTAGCTAGTACCTGAGGTAGCTAGTACGCTACTAGCATGGACGCAGGATAGCGCACGCTTCTTCAAGGAATCTCCCCCGCCCCCTTAAAGGCGGCGGGGGGGAGCTTCCTTGAAGAAGCGCTCGCACTAATGATTTGGTTCCTAGACTTTTAGGGAAACTTAACCGCTGAACTCAGTCTGTCAGGTTGGTGAGACAGGCTATGACCTGGCAGCCACCAGGTTTGCATCACAACCTGGACATCTCACAGATGTATGAACTCTTGATCTTGCTATGTCTTGCTTATTTGTTCATGTTTGTTCGACTAGTTCTTCTTTCTGATATTCACGTATTTCTTTGAAGGCTGTGTGACAGCAAAGAATATTGTAATCAATTGTGGATCTAAAATATGAGCACATATATATATATATTATATTAATTATATTATGAGTACGGTCACGTCACATGCGGTCGCATGGTCAGATGCCTGTCGGATGCAGAGAAGAACGAAGCACGGCGGCGGGGACCTCACAGAGGTGAATGGCAACTGGTTGGCAGACTCAGCTGTCCAACTTGCAGATCTTTAAAAGAAAGCAAACACCAGACAAGCAGTGAAACCTCGTGAAACGATGTGAAACGTAATTAGGTGGTCAAACTTAGTGATCAAACGACATTCCAACGTTTCACGACGTTTCACGACAGTTGCTAGTAGCTTCTTGTTACTACTAGTAAGGCACTTGTTACTAGAAGCGATGCACTTGTTTCTACTAGCTTCTTGTTACTACTAGTAAGGCACTTGTTTCTAGAAGCGATGCACTTGTTTCTACTAGCTTCTTGTTACTACTAGTAAGGCACTTGTT